GAGTCTTCAAAGTCTGTCATATCATTTGGAGCAGAGCCCAGGCCCTCCCCTGTGTGTCTAGGCTGAGAGAGTATTCCTCTACGTGGAATGGGCTCCCAAAGTCCATTGATGTACTAGGTATAAATATAGATCCATTTCCAGAGGCCCCATAGACTGCCTAGTCCTCCCAACTAACACCCACATTCAGGGGATCAGGATGATCCTATGTTGATTTCCCAGCTATCAGGCTGGAGTCCATGAGCTCCCCTTGTTCAGGTCAGCAGTTTCCATAGGTTTCTCTAGCTTGGCCTTTGCTCATCACTCCTTCCTGTCTGCAGTTGGATTCCAGAGCTTCAGCTCAGTGTTTACTTGTGGGTATCTGTTTCTGCTTCCATCAGCTACTAGAAGGCTCAGAGAGAGGGCCCAGGATTCTGCTCTCTTCATCTTCCATTTAACTGTCTATTATTATCAAATAATAGCAACCCATTTTAACTATTGTGGCTGTATAACATATTTAAACATCACAAAGTCTTCATTTGATTTTTTTTTCCAGAAAAGAAAATAATATATTGACTTTTCCCTTTAGGCCTACTTGTCAACACCCAAGTGATATTATAGAATTAATTCTTTTATTTTCCTAATAACTATCCTTAAATATAGAGAAATCATCTTAATATTGAGATGTTTAATCAATTTTTATGTAGTTTGCAGTTTTTAATCAGATAATTTTCCCTTCTTCTTTGTAAGTCATTTGTTCATTTTTATCTTACTGCAATGACTAGAGCAATATTAAATGGTATTGTTGTTTCAAAGAACCTTTTGTTCAATGTTAGTATGAGTCTACATTATTTCATTTTAAAGTTCAATTTAAACAGTAAACAAGAATTCTATCTCATTTTGATAAAGTCTACTCTTTCAAGTTATCTTGTATTTCTTATAAATGTATATTAAATGGCAATGGATATCTCCAATATAAATTGAGATGATCACACTTCTGTTAATTGTACCTATCAACATGATATGTTATAGTAGATAAAGCATTGGAAAGGCTGTATGGTTCTTGATGCAATATGCAGCACTGGTGATCTCTCTCACTCTAGGCAAGAACTCTGCCACTGAACAATACATTCAGAATATTTTTTATTAATGAGAGACAGAGTCTGGTTTAGTTTCCTGGACTTCCCTTGAGCTTCCAATCTCTCTGCTTCAGCCTCCTGATTGATTGATTGGTGAATATCATAAATTTTCCCTGTAGTCATATGGAAGAATGATCTGTATTTTGGGATATGTACTTGGATCTTTAAATGTGGTGTGTGTGGTGTGGATGTGTATAAAATCAACATTACCTTAGTTTTGTCATTTGAAAAAAAATCACAAGTAATATAGCAGGACCTGAAGTTGGGGTCAGGATTTTCTCTTAATGTATTGACTGTGTTTTCAGTTTCCTTTGTGTGTTTTGGTTGGCATTTATTTTCTTTTGGTTGACTAAATTTTGATATGTTTTGGTTTTCATAGCAATTGCTTTCTTTATTTTGTGAGTTGAAGGCTTCTAGCTTGTGTCCTCCATTTTTATATCCTTAAGAGTCCTCTATATCTGATATGTCCTGTCTGTCAGAACAACATACCTGGAATGTGTGCCTGTCTTCAAGTAGAATAGAAAAACACAGGAAAAGAAGGGGGGAAGGAAAGAAGAAAGGAAGGAAGGAAGGGAAGGAAGGAGATAGAGAGAAAGGAAGAGAAAGAAAGGAAGGAAGGAAGAAAAAAAGGAGAGAGGGAGGGAGGGAAGAAAGGAGGGAGGGAGGGAAGAAAGGAGGGAGGGAGGGAAGAAAGGAGGGAGGGAGGGAAGAAAGGAGGGAGGGAAGGAAGGAGGGAGGGAAGAAGGAAGAAAGAAAGATGAGGAGAGAGAAAGGGAAGGAAGGAAGGAAGGAAGGAAGGAAGGAAGGAAGGAAGGAAGGAAGGAAGGAAGGCTATATCTCCTCTTAGATTACAAAACCACAGATCTACCCACAGACAGATTTGGTGCCATAATTCATTCTGCCAGCATACTGCATAAATCTAGTTAACATGGTCATGGACAATATTGCCCACAGGTATCTAGTAGAAATAAAAGATTGTGAAGGAATACGTCAAGCTTAGGCCTCAAAAAAAATTGTAAAATAAAATTCCTAGGAATCACCATCCTATGGTGTGTGTGAATATGTGTGATGTGTGAATATATTTACATATAACATGCAAATATGGAAATATATAGTATACATAGGTCCATTAAAAGCATACAAATATATACACCTCCTTGGTCAGTAGTCATTCAAAATAATTTTAATTGTTTTAATTGTTTAAATTATAATTTTTAAAAATTATAACCAATTTTATAAATCCTGAACATTTAGGAATAACCTATCCTATGATATAAAATATCCCTATTAAATATGCTCCAAGAAACGAAAGAGCACTAGTAGTATGCCCGAGGAGAGAGAGAGCCTGAGGAGAGAGAGAGCCTGAGGAGAGAGAGCCCGAGGAGAGAGAGAGCCTGAGGAGAGAGAGAGCCTGAGGAGAGAGAGAGCCTGAGGAGAGAACGAGCCTGAGGAGAGAATGAGCCCGAGGAGAGAGAGAGCCTGAGGAGAGAGAGAGCCTGAGGAGAGAGAGAGCCTGAGGGGAGAGAGAGCCTGAGGAGAGAGAGAGCCTGAGGAGAGAGAGAGCCTGAGGGGAGAGAGAGCCTGAGGAGAGAGAGAGCCTGAGGGGAGAGAGAGCCTGAGGAGAGAGAGAGCCTGAGGAGAGAGAGAGCCTGAGGAGAGACTGGCAGTTGCTCATGGAGATTCAAAAGGACTCAAATTTAAAAAAATTAATGAAAATACTGTAAGCAATTCAAAGTAAAAATTAAACACAAAAATGAACAGAAATATAGGGAAACTTGTGAATTGATGAACAAATCAGAAACAAAATATATTTAGAACTTGGGAGAGAGATCAAATAGGAAAGATCAAAAGTGGAACCACACCATGAGGGTGGCGTGAGGATCTCAGACGTACTTAGTAGATTCCCATGAGTCCCATAGGAAGCATTTGGATTCCTTTAAAGCCTGCCAGCGACAGCAAGAAGAGCTCTGTTCTGCTTCCCAACACTGATGAGGTAACTTTGGTCTCTGGAAAGATTTGGTACACAAAACGGAGACTCATTGTATCCCTCCTTGGGACAAGCTTCATGAGTTTTTTAATTGATGTCTAATAAATGTATTAACTGACATGTAAATTACACATGATGTCTTGGGTAGTTTCTCCTGCTATTGTGATATAATACCCCAGCAAATGAACTTAAGTAAGGGAGGGGTTATTTTGGCTCACAATGAGTGCAGCCCACATAGTGGGGAAGTCCTGGAAGCAAGGCTCTCAGCAGCTGGTCACATTCCACCTGCAGCAGGAAGCAAAGACTAGTAACTATAGGTACACAAACAGCACTCACCTTGTAAGCCATCAAACCGCAAAGGCAGCATGCCAAGAGTTTCTTTTCGTGGAAGCATTCCCTGAAAGATTTGCAGTTTTGCACTGCTGAGTCTTTCCTTCTGTGCAGGGTCAGTGAAGTCTGCATGCCCAGGGATGTCTTCTCCATTGCTGGTTAGGTTGTTCCAGTTACAGTAAGGCGAAAGCTGAATGAACAGTGGACAATCTGATTCACCATGGCACTTGGAGCAGTGTCTCCCTCCATTCACATCCCAACTCACACGTGTGATACAGGTGATATGTGTGGACTTTGATGGAAACACTAAATTGTGCTTTAAAGGCCTGTACCATTTTGAGACTATTTCTTGTGCTTATCTTTAAAATCCATAAGCCAAAGTTCTTTGAGCTGAGTGAAATGGGAAAATGAAGTACTTCTATTAAAAAAATAATTCATGGCTAGAATTTGAGCAACACCTAGAAATGTTGCCTTTTTAGCATATTTCTTGCCTTCATCCCATATCTTACTTGCATCTACTTTGTATGTTGTCTTGGTTACATTTTAAACCTAGGTAGGTACAAGCTTAAAAGCTGGGCATATGCCAAGTGATTGGCTTGTGTCATTCAACATCTTTTATTTTTGTATGTAAAAAGGAACTAATATAGTTCAATTAGTGTACCTTCTTATAATATAAAATTAGAGACTTTTAGAATCAAGTTGCCAGTCCATTAGTGCATACTACATAAATTTATTCTTCCTAACTTTCTCATCAATATTATTTAACCAAATTCATTTTAACATTCTATCCAAGATTATATTTTCAAATGGCTTAGTTTTCTAAATGTCTTCAACTTCATGCTTTACTGACTACCTTATGTTCTTCTAAATGCAAGTATGTACACATTTTTGTAATCATGAAAATACAGCAAAAACAAATTCAGTGACAAATAAAAATGGGAAGTTATAGATGGTACAGGCTTTTACCTCTTATGTCAACTGAAAGATAAAGTAAAGGGGCACAACTATGCTCTCACCACTTAAAAGGGGTGATCCCAAGTTGAAGGCCAGCCTGGGCTACATAACACAACTTTGTCTCACATACACACAAAGGACACAAGATATAACACTAGGAGAAAACTTCTGATTTCAAAGAGCTAATTTCTTTTCCAAGGTTCTAAACATAATGTAGAATTGTTATAATTTTAACATAAACATATTTCTGAACATCCATTTTTTCCCAGAACTTAAAAAAAGTAGAACATATATGATATATAAAAGTTTACAACTTGATAATAAAATTTAAAAAAAAAATACCAATGATTTTAACTGTACCCAGAGCAGGAGGTTCTTGTTGTGTCTTGGAGCCTCTTAGAAAGACCTGATACCTTGTTTTCTAAATCAGTGTGTCTTCAACCCACCTTCCTCCCCAGGAGAGCTAAATCTGCTTCAGAAACAGCCTGATGGATGCTGGAGCCATCAGCCTGGTTTTCCTCTGGTTATTGCAATCACTTTCAGACTCGAACACTGGGCTGTGCTTCCAGGGCCCCCACTTTAAGGCACATCTTTCTGTTCCTCTCACGCTACAGAGTCATCAGAATTTGGTCCATCCCTGGTGATCCACACCAGTGTCCCGTTCGGAGTTACACACATCGAGCACAGTGAGGAGGATGTGCAGGAGATAATCAGCCAGCAACTGGAAACCATTCTGCCCGGTTTGCCTCAGCCGGTTGCTACTACGTGCCATAAGTGGAGGTATTCACAGGTAATCAGAGAATAGAGTGACAAAATGTAGGCATTTTCTGGGCCGGCTAGCAGAACTGATGTCACTTTGCATTTGTCACCGTTCTCTAGTAGGAGAGATGAGCGATGGCATCTTTGAAGTTAATATGGGTTTGTCATACACATGTGAAATTTCTGTAGGTGCCATTGTCCTGCTACTTCTCAATGACAGGATCATATCACTTTTTACCAGTTTTGTCCATGTCCCAGCACACCCTGAAATTCTGGGGTTTCTTACAAAGGCAAGGCAAGCTATATATCCAAATGTAGCTGTTTCTCTGGGGATTTTCCAAATTGACACTGTGGCTGGATGCTAGCCACTTTATCTACCTGGGCTTATGCAATATGTCACATTAGTATTGTGTGCATGGTTTAGTTGCCAGTATTTTCCTTTTTATTGAGTTTTTACTTCAGTTTGAGTAGAGTGACAGCTGAGGTCTTTCCTGAGTAACTCTAGAATACTGAACTGAGCTGCCTTCCAGGGTAATCTTATCATTCTTCTAGGTCAGCCTTAAAGCTCTTAATACAGAGTAAATCTTGACTTAAGCACACACACACATTTTTTACTAGAGTTGAAATACTGTTCGCGGAAATGTCTTTGAATCTGTAAACTCGTTATGACATCATGTGGGGGTCAATGAAGCAAAGATTGGATAGTGAAGATGAAAATAGACAGGGACCTGTGTTTCCCCCTTAGGGTTTCTGAGCCCATTGATGAACAGATTTGTGAGTACTATTGGTTATCCGAGCTGTAAGACCTTCAGAAAAAAAAAAGTGATGTTATGGGAAATCACAGCAGATTTTGTATGTTTTAAAGGGCTTCCCAAATTAGAGGAAATAGTAAATTACTCACTAAAATATTGCAGCAGGTCTGTGTTTACCCATATCTGCTCAAGTTAAATTATACAGTGAACCTTTGGGGAAAATATTTACTTAAGCATGTCATAGTCACTTTAGAAGACTTTGCTCTTTCCTTTTAAGAGTGTTGAAAAATCCCAAAATCCCAATAGCTAGTGTCTCTAAATGATGGTTAACTCAATTTTAGGTTGACTTGAAAAAGAAGCTGGGGAAAGAACCTTGTGGTAATTTGAGGCTGAAGGCATTGAAGTATATTTGTGGTCATTTGAAACTGGTATATTGTACTTAAGTCATTTTGACTATTGTAAATACTATAGCACGAAAAATAAAAAACCCAGAGACAGATATTGGGGCTCAAACTTCAAGCTGAAGATCAGAAAAGCAGAGCCAGCCACTAGCTTTTACTCTACCTAAGACTTAAAGGCAATCCTGGCTCCACCAAACCTCAGACTCAAATACCAAACTGCTATGATCTTCTCAACATGGCTGGAGAATCCTGAGACTGAATGTCTTCCTATCCTCAGTGTGGCTGGAGAATGAATGCCAGCTCTGAGACCCTGTTCCTTTCATAAACACCTCCCTAATGCTGGAGTTAAAGGCATGTGGTCCCAACATTCTTCACTCTTGTGTAGGTCATGGTGGCCTTGAACTAACAGAGATTGGTCTACATCTTAATCCTGAGTCCTGGGATTAAAGGTGTATACCCCCACTGCCTGATTTCTATAGCTTGAAGCTGACTTTACTTTTTGAATCCTCGGGCAAACTTTAATAAATCATAAATAATGCATCACCACAAAATACTCCTTTAAAATAAGTGTAGTTTGTCAAGTTTCTTTTTGTACTTTTCTCATTAAAAAAATTTACTAATAGACTAAAAAATAGTCTGTGAATCTATTCATATAAGTTTATAATATTCTAAAATTAACCTTGTACTAAAAGGGTTGTACAGTATCACAAAACTTAATCCAGAGATTATGTTGAACACAAGGTATATCCCAAACTCTAGCAATGGTTTTAATTGTAATTTGGATGTTGAAATCATTCCGCTGAGTTTATAACTCTGTAGACTTGGAAACTACATTGGCTGCAAAGCTATTATTCAGACTTTAAAGCCTGTATTTCCACTGTTCATATACTTCTCTAGGGTCTTGAATAGCAGTCTACAAAGAATAACATTGTCATGTGTGGTCAACATCTCACCTATGCACATTAGAAAAAAGTACTCTTCTCAAACAGTGTATCCCCGGTGCTTCTCAATGATCCATCTTAACCTTTGAAACTTGACAGAGAAGTATGTGCCCTAAGCCTTGCCATCATGGTACAAGTGGCTTTGCTTCAATTAACAAAACAGCATGGCACTGGCACCCATGAAAACCCCGTTGGCTAAGTCACCTCCCAGTGTATCACAGCAACAAGAGAGCGCAAGCTGAGAGATTACCTGGGTATGCAAGAAGCCAGAGTCAGAGTTGGGGGAGCTTCCTTATGTGACAGTGACTCTCACAAAAAGTAGCTCAGAGTCAGAAAACTACTTTAGCCCCATCCAACAACTATCCCCAACCACCCAACTGCTCCCACTGAACATCTCCTAAATGTCCTGATGCTGCCATACAAGGAACGTAGCTTCCAGCAACATGAGTCCTTGAAAGACACCCACAAACTATGTCCACACCATCACATTTACCTTAGAAAGTGCTCATAAGAATAATACATATGTACAATACTTTAAAAATTCACTTTCAAACACCAAATAAGTCATATAAACACATTGTGCTTTAAAAGAATCTTGAGTCTTCTAGTGTCAACCCACTATCATGATGAGAAAACAGAAGGTCAGGGAGGAAATGTTAAATAACTTCCTTCTATTCCCTCGGATAATGATGGCATGGTGGACCATAGATTCATCAGATGAGTGCCCTTCCCTTCTGGTCAGCTAATCATTCACAGGTTCCAAAGATCAGGATGTGAACATCTTTGGTAAGGGCTTTGTTTATCTCAGTCACACCCTCTTTCCTCTGGTTCTCCTGACGAGTCCCTCTATGGTCCCACATAAACTTTTAAGGGGAAGTATTGACACTGTAAGGCTCCAGTCACACTCTTAGAAAAATTGGGGGTGGATACCTGGGGAGCAGTTTCTCATTTTCCTGTTGTTCTCCAGGCCCATTGCTATCTCCAGACTGTCCATAATGACGGGGGGGTGAGCATGTTCACCCGCCTGTGCCATAAAGAATGCCTACAACATCACTAGTTTCCCTTCTGAAACCAGAAAGGCCAGGATCTGCTGAGGCTCTAAGACTCTAAATTGAATTTTGTCTTAAACAACATAGTGGTACATTTTTGAGGGTGCTGCAAATGAAGGGAAAAAATGTGTTTGGACAACTTGGCAACTGTTCCTGTGCTTCTCATCTAGGGTTTGGGTAAAATTCCTCAACTGCTGGGTTTGGGTTTAACTTAAAAGAGCAGTGGCAGAATTTTTTAATGGTTCTCGGTTCTTCCATTTCACATCAATTTCCCCTCCACAATTTAAATGTTTATCCAATTAATGTAATTTGGGGTTTATTCCATACAGCATTTCATTAAGGGTTCTGAACAAGTTGGTTATTTTGACACTTTCAACAGAAAAATGATCACTGAAAATGCCTTTCCACGTAACCTCACACAGGACACTCAAGAGTGCTGCTGACCATTGTCCCATGCTTTCCTTTGTTTCCATGTCTGCCTTGGAGACATGGAAACTATCACTGGTGACTGGTTGGTATTGAGATATAACTATGATTTTCCCCATCCTTTGATTAAAAAAAAAGTTAGTGGCTTTTTCTGTCATTGTTCTTTGAACACTCATGTGTTGCTTATATCATTATCATCATCATCATCATTATTAATATTATTAATAATAATTTTTGTTTTCCCAGATAGGGTTTCTCTGTGTAGCCCTAGTTATCTTAAAACTTATTCTGTAGACCAAGCTGGCCTTGAACTCTGCCTGCCTTTTCCTCCTGAGTGATGGAATTAAAGGCCTATGCTGCTACTTATTTTTGAAAATTGGCAAACACCAACGAGATGAAGTGAAGAAGTTTAGAACACAGAATGGTAGTTTGTTGGCATATTAGCATCTTTGACAAAATGAATGCATGAACTAGACTGTTGCACTGTCAAATTAGTTATCAGTACAGTGACCTTTTGTCACTTGGGTTGTGCTTCCGCTGCACAGAATAGAGAATGACCACTAGACTGAAGATGTAGTAGATGGAATGGGGAAAATAGATTTTTCTAGCTATACATCTGACATCTATAATGTGCAAAGAACCTTAAAAATTAAACACCAATCAATAACTGAGTAATTTCACTGAACAGACAGTTCTCAAAAAGGAAAGGAAGGAAGGAAGGAAGGAAAAGAAGAAAAGAAACAAAAAATGGCAATAAATATTTGAAAAGGTGTTCTTAGCTGCTGAGGAAATGTTGATTAAAACTGCCTGAAGATTACCACACCAAAGTCAGAATGGTTATCATTAAGGAAACAAATGACATTAAGTCTGGGTGAGGATGTGGGGAAAGATAAACCTTTACATTACCGCTGGTGGGAATGTAAACTGGGGCAGCTACTGTGGAAGCTCCTCCAAAAAAAAGAAAGAAAGGAAGGAAGGAAGGAAGGAAGGAAGGAAGGAAGGAAGAAGGAAGGAAGGAAGGAAGAAGGAAGGAAGGAGGAAGGAAGGAAGGAGGAAGGAAGGAAGGAGGGAGGAAGGAAGGAAGGAGGAAGGAAGGAAGGAAGAAAGAAAGAAAGAAAGAAAGAAAGAAAGAAAGAAAGAAAGTAGAAGCACAGTATGACCCACCCCCAGCCATTCTACTCAGGTGCGTACCTGAAGAATTAAGAGAGAACACGATAGCAATACTTGTACAGCAATGTTTACTGCTATACTATTCTTAACTGCTTAAAACAAAAAAAAAAAAGAACCAGCATAGATGTCTACCAACAGATGAATGAAGAAAAATTTGACACATACACACAATGTGATTTGTTTAGTCACAAAGGGAAATAAATCATGACACTTTCAGTCTGTATGTTACTCGCATGTAGATATTTTCATGCCTGACCATTTAGTATTGAATAACCAGTTGGTGTTCTCTTAC